TACCGCAGGACACAAACCTAAACAACAGATTGTAAAAGCCCTGTTCACAAGCTTAAAATCTGCATATATTTTGACATATTATAAGAGATTCGAACACGGTTGCTGCATAAAATGGATGAGCTGCATTATTGTTAGCAATATGCTATTTAAAAACACAATATGGCCACATTGTGGAACTGAACCCTATCACCTTTGTTAATTGACAGGCCATACTCCAAACCCATAAGAGAGCGGTGATGCCAAGCGAATGATTCAAGGAAACACAGAAGAACGGAGGAGAAACATTTAGATGGCCATTTTGGTTGCATAGCTCGTAATCATGTTAAGCATTTCTTGATTCCTCTTCCTCCAGAAAATACACTATTGCGATTAGTCACAGCCTCTTACCAAATCCACCTTAGTGACGACCCAAGAGTGGTTTTTCTAGATTGTCAAGTTCATTAGCCAAGAACACATAGCTGTAAATGACTGAATTAACAAGCCATGACCAATCTTCTTACGCTATTATTTGTGCCCATGTATGTACCATATCTGTATGATGTTACAAATTCAACAGAAGCTTAATTATACCTATGAAGAGGGTCTGAACCACTGGAGCCTGGGGGACCCAGGTATCAAACCATCATAAAAATAGTTTGTCTGTTACCTTTAGGATGGTACTAGGGAACTCCAAGTACCATAACTATACTGTAGTGTTCATGATGTTTAGAGCCGACACTGTTATTTATCCTAATGTAACATTGAGTAAAACTATAAACTTAAATGTTTTTTCTTCAGTTCAAGAAAATCATAAAGTACGCATTGTAGCTTCAGCTGAATGACATACAATAGCATGTATTTCCATAAGGAAATACCCCACTGTTTCCATAAAATGCTTTGTGAGAAAAGAGAGGTCAATAGCGGTATTACTATAGAATTTTACATTTATAAAAACCCAAATCTCCGTAGTGCGGTAAAATAGGGGGGAAACAAATTACACTGTCCATGAGCCTAAAGCATCATAGCCACTATAGCACGCTGTTGTGGTCATGATATCAGGAGTAGCCTGCTCCCTTTCCCTGGAAATGGGGCAAACCATACTACAACGGTGTGTCCTCTTAGCTGGGTCCCCTCTGGGCTCCCTGCTGCTTTGGTGACATCCATTCAGCTGCTGATTCCGTTGGCAATCATTGGCGGAGAGCGTCAGCTGATACAATTGTAATTCTACACAGAATTGATATTAGCCAACCTGGAACTCTAGTGGCTGGTGAGTACACCCTAATGGCACTCCCAGGAGATGGAGTTGCAACTCCGGCAGCGAAGGAGCTAAATCCAGTATGTGCAGCGCTTCATAACACTGCACATACAGACTCCAGGCACCATTCATATCCCTTTACATACAAACTTTCATTAAAGGGCCCAGGTGAACTCTCTCTCAATAGTATAGTAATGACGCTGTCAAAGAGAAAGGATCAACTCCTTACCATAACTCACTCAAGAATTATTTTAATTTTAGCAGCCATTTTCCCTTCATATTTTATAGGATTAATGTATTTATATTTGCATAAAGAGAGTACTGCAATCAAAGTATGAAATGGAAGATTGAGATAAGTTCAGACATGTATGCAGACGTTGTGAGACCAGTCTGCTCTGCAATATCCAGCCACAAAATGCATTGCATTAAGGAGAACGCAAGCTATAAAAGCTGAATTAAAAAAAATTAAAAGAATTAATAAAAAAAACTGGCCCTTTTTAACCCCTTAAGGACACGTGTGACAAGTCATGACTGCCTTTTATTCCAGAAGTTTGGTCCTTAAGGGGTTAAGCAATGGTGTATTTTATTGGTATTTTTGTTCAAGGCCAACCAGAAGGAGTTTAGAATTTAAAATAAACAGTCATTTAGGAGAAAATACAGAGATGAACACAAACTCTGGCTTTCTGGATCAATAAAAACATTATCTAGACGTGTTCTAAAATCTTATTAACATGTCTGTTATAAACACAGTTGTGAGCTTATTTCTAAAGGTGCTATTTAATATATATTGAACACTCAAAGCACCATAACACTAAAGGCTTACAGTGGCAAGTAATATTAAAGGCCTAGGTAGTAGAGAAGACGTGACATTTTAAGCCCTGTTACAAGTTAAAAGTATCAATGCAAAAACTCATAGATTTTTCTAATTTGACACAGAGAATTGTGTCCTAAAGTTCAATGAAGCAGAGACATATGTGCAATGTTCTAATTCTGTATGCCAAATCGATTTCATGATCACAGAACATACAATTTTACCATAACATGTAGGTGGGGAGTGTGGGCTGCACATGCCTTAGGAGGTAAACCCAGTTGAGTTTAAATTGCAGGAACCTGCAGGGTAACGGCACTATAATCATTACTTCAATAACTTTAAAAACTGAGCACCCGCGAACATACCTTTATCTGATAACTAACATTTACTAAATTGCAAATTGTAGCAAGCTCGAAACAAATGCCAAAATGAAGTCTGAAACTGCTAAACTATGACTACAGCCAAGAATGGGAATTTATTTCAGATGCGCTATTATAGTCTAAACTTTGCCAATCACATTTCAATACACAACAATTAGAAGCTTAGTAACTAAACCCTGAAATGGTTTATTTACTAAACCCCAAAATGAAGGACAGCAATAACTTCACGATAACCATTGCTGTGTTGTTGGCTTTTTACATTAACCCCTTAAAGACACATGACGTGTGACATGTCATGATTCCCTTTTATTCCAGAAGTTTGGTCCTTAAGGGGTTAAACAACTTTTACAACTCATTTTACAATTCACTACAATTCGCTGTTGCATATTCCAGTTTCTAGAATCACACTGACACAAACCTCATCTACCCACATTATGACCTGACCACTTGTAATGTTGGTATACATAACCTTTCAGACAGTATCCATGTAACAATGCAGACAATATCCAATTAATACACCCACACAACTTACCCAGTAGACTAGTTTAAAACCATCCAGGTCTGTTTCTGCAATTTTACCTAATCCACGTCCCTATTTTTGTTCAATCTTTGTTTCACCCCCACACCTTTGTCTCATACAACTTCCTGAAAGCTTTTTACCTTATCCCCTCCTCCTCTAATGTTAACATTAAAAAGAAGGAACTCCACCACGTCTACATATCCTACCCCTACAATGCATTACAATACCACTGTTATGTTTAACCTTTTGTCTTCATATAGCAAAAACACCAGGGTGTCCAGGACATTCATTTCACACAGAATTACAACTCCCATTAAGGTCAGAAAGCCTTCCGGTTGGTAAAGAATCAAGTTCCTCCTATTTGAACACCCCTATAATAAATTCAGCACCCCTTCTTGGATACCGTTGTAAGAAAATCTGGAACCCTTCTCAACACTCCTGAAATAAAACTTACATCCTTTCCTGGACCTCTATAATAAAAATTATACCATTTCAGGACAACCCTATATTCTCTCTGGACACCACTACACCATATCA